ATCTAAAGAAATTGTTCTTAAAGAAAAAAATGGATTTTTCCACGGCCAATTCCAATCCCTTAATAAGAGCATAAAGACATGATTTAGACACAATACAGATTTCCTCTATATGTTTTCTTTTTTTTCCTTACTTAAAAGCACTTCTACACAAATACAGAATCATTTTTCTGTAGGAATGCATCCGTCAGTTTGTCCATAAGATAACTCTTCCATAGGGAAGAGATGATGTATGTTTATGAGAGCTAGATGGTAAAACAACTTGTTATCAGTAAAGCACAGGTCATATCTGAAATATCATTCCCATTATGATTCAGTGTGGCTGAAAAGATAAAAACTCAGGCAACAGGCTAAATTCCCAAGCTGCAAGAAAAATTTCAATCTTTATCCTCAGCCAGGCCCTAGTAGACCTAGAATTTTACTACCACTGTCTGCCAGGTTAGTTTCCAGAACATGGCCTTGCAAAAACACATCATTAAAACAAAAAGTCTCAGCCTATTTGATCACAGCTGAAAGTTGAGAGTTCCATGAAGATTTTTCACGTACCATGCTTTTTAAGAACAGCTGCTGACGTTTTGAGCTTTGCTGTGCTGGGTTTGGAGTGGCACCTCCTTGAGAACAATTTGCTGCCTGACTTCCAGGCACAGCCCATCAACAGAGTTTGAAGCTGCATTTGTTAAGGTGTTTTGGAAAAGCCTGAACAACTTCTAAAATAGTGAGCAGAGCTGAGATTCCCTTATTATTTGGATAATACGTTTATCTTCACCACCTTTGTCCATTTACCTACCTGCCAGCATGACTGTGAATAAATCTGATATTCTTCATGAGCTTTACAGACTTGACTGTGCTTTTGTATACAAACTGCAATTTAAATTGCATTTTGTTACACTACTTCTATTTTTTTTTATTTGGTTTGCCTAGTGCCTCGAGCAATTGGTGCACAACTCGGGCTTCTAATTAGTGCTGTGAAATGAAAAACATTCATGTGGATATTGTTGTAAGAGCAGTACTATATAGAGAGAACATCACTTCAGCAGCCCTTGTAGATGGGGTAACAGCTACGCAGCATTGTTCAGGAGTGTACTGGGAATGATTTCTCCCATGTCACTTTGTTTTACAGCCCTGAACCAATGGCAGCTGGAAACCAAAGAGAAGCTACTGAACCAATTAATAAGGTCCCCATTATCAGGCAGAGTCTTCATTCTCTCTGCACCCCTGTGACTACTGCAGCTTGATCCAAAATTCTTGGGGACTGCAGAAAGTTTTATAAGGTAAATTAATCTACAATTTCTCATCAAAAGTGTTGGTAGATACAGAGTAGCTCACAAGGGACGTTAACTCACGTTCCAAAATTCTTGGGGACTGCAGAAAGTTTTCTAAGGTAAATTAATCTACAATTCCTCATCAAAAGTGTTGGTAGATGCAGAGTAGAGCTCAAAAGGGACATTAACTCACGCCTTGCTGGTGTTATCTGAGTTCCTAAGGTTCTGGTTTCCTCCTCCCTAGCACTGGGGTTTGGGGGTAAATCACCCACTTCTTTTTACTCCATGTATTTCCATTTTTCACTGTAGGGACAAAAGCAAAGCTTGCCTATGAAAGGGGACAAAAACAACCCAAGAATTAGCTTTGGTGTTTTTAGAAAATCCTTGTGGGAAAAATACTGCCTCCTCCCCAGGCAGAGAGCAGAACATTTGACAGTGGTGTAACTTCACTGCACAAGGGGCAAACACACTGGGAATCTGCTCATGCAGAAATTCTAGTGACTGTATGTAAAGGCAGCAAGGGAGGGGGGAAACAAGAGAGACAAACAAAAAAGAAAACAGAATAATAGGGCCAAATATCAACAACTTCAACCCTGGTTACTTCTCTCTTGTATTCAAGAAAATACGTCTCCTGTTGTAGCAGTGACACTCTGAAGTAACCACAGCACAGCTCTACTGCTCTTCACGGAGGTGGGCTGAAAAAACCCAAACTTCTGCTTGAATTGCTCAAAACTGCCCCTATGAGCAATGAACTTTACCCAGCAATCTGTTACCAAAAATGAGAGAAAAGTTTGCAACAAAAAGCAGGGGTTTTTTGTTTGTTTCCACTCCCCCACCCCAATTATTAATCTCATGCACCTGCATCTAATTATGGTCTTAAACTCAAGCAACTCTAATTTACAAAGACTTACATATAGTTGAGTCCCACTGAGGATATTGAGGATATTCCCAACACTGCTGTAGGATCACTGTCAGTGAGAAAAACTTCCCCTATGAGCCATGAACTTTATCCAGCAATCTGTTACCAAAAATGAGAGAAAAGTTTGCAACAAAAAGCAGGGTTTTTTTGTTTGTTTCCACTCCCCCACCCCAATTATTAATCTCATGCACCTGCATCTAATTATGCTCTTAAACTCAAGCAACTCTCATTTACAAAGACTTACATGTAGTTGAGTCCCACTGTGGATACTGAGGATATTCCCAACACTGCTGTACTTCTCAGCTTCTTAGGAGAGAGTGACATCTTGTGGTTTCTTCTTTTGTCCATCATTGAAAAATAAAAATTAGCCATAAAAGGTTTGACTAATTTGTGTTTGTTTGTTTCAGGTATAACACTAAGATCTTAATTGTTTTAATATCATGTACTTGCTTCACAGAAACTGATTGATTTGGGTTGTTGTTAAGTCAGTCTAGGTCCCATTAAGAAGTACAGGTGTTACTGTATTAAGCAACAGTTTGCTTTGCCATCATCAAGGCTTCACTAACTGATTCTAATTCATGCGACATGACAAATTTTGGTTTGAATCCAGTAATAGTCTGGAAAAACTGTTTTGTGCTCATGGTCATGTGAAAGCGGGATCTTCTTAGTTAAATAAGTCAGTCTCTGGTGGTAGCACCACAACTGAAAGGATTTGAAGGAAAGTACTCTTTCCAGCTTTGAAAAGCATTTCCACCTGGACTCCAGTAGATATACACAAAGACAGAAGCTGACAGCATTAGAGAACTGCATCTCAAGCTTAAACTCCATCTGCGTCACAGAAAGATCTCAGTAGACACTGTCACATCATGGGTCACTTACACAGCACAACTATAGAAGTTTCAGTAATTTATTTTCTGATATAGCCTCCAACACAAAATACAATTTTTAATTTTAAGACTATACACCTAAACTCACATACGAGCCACTACTGACAAATTCCCCTTATGAAAAAAAAAAATCCAAAGACAAAATTACTTTGCTAGCTTTGTCTTGAAAAAGCAATAGCATCTTTGAAAAGAACATTATACAAAATCTAGATTAAAAACCACAATGGAATAGTATTCATATACCTCAAGAAATTGGTAACAATACTTAAGATATGAGTATTGAAAAACAGTATTGTTTGAGAGCTGTTCTCGTGATCTACAATATCTTTGCATAACTTGGTAGTAAATCAATTCATGTTGTTGAAAACCAGGTCGTTCTCAATTTTCAAGGAACATGAAATGGCTACTTTGCATCTGTAAGGACCAGGAGAGCATCAAGTGAAATAACTAGTGTTTGCACTTCTGTTTCTGCTGGTTTTCCTACATGCCATTGAGGCAACTTCCAGAATCAGATTTGGAATATGTGATTCTGCATCATTCCACTTATACCTACGCTCAGTCTAACTGCTGGAGAAGTCTGTGCACTTGCCTGATATCCTCTATAAATACTCCTGACTGGCAGCTGTCCTTCCAGAATTCCACAAGCTTTAGCTCAAATCTATCTTCAGTCCTTCCCCTTGGCAGGAAGCATCTACGCTGCGAGAAACTAATGCAAAAGAAACACAAAATTGGTCTGGAGGAACTTTTGATGGACTGAAAATAAACATGATTGAGGGTTGTCATCTGTTTTCACATGGCTTTCCAAATCAGAACAAACACCTCAAAAATTAGCCTGAAAAAAAATGCAATGGCTTAAAAAAATCAGGTTCCCATAAGATTAAAACCACAAGAGGTCCTTAGCATTTGGGTCACTTTTAAAGACATTAGGTGATGTTCATAGAATCCTTTAAACATGAAGCCCTTGTGTAACCCCATGTTAAAGGAGCTGGGTTTACCTGCAGTGAGACTAATTCTGTATCTTGGTAAAATTAGCCCCTGCTCCTTCTTAGAAGCACTCCCTTTTTCCCCTCCCAGGCATAACATTTGTAGCTATACAGAACTAAAATTACAATTTTTGTCTAAATTTGAATAGAAAAATCTCTCTCACCAAGGCCAGACTGTAATATAATAAGAGTAACAAGCCACAAAAATACACTAAGGAGCTCCATTTTTCTTTTGTGCAGCAGAACTAAACAATTCAAAGAGGCAGGGCTAGAAATGTGGTGGAATGCCCTTTCATCATGGGAGCAGAACCAGCCTCCAAGGAGAACGTCCATCACTTTGCAGTTTGACCTGCATGATTCGCACCAGCAATATAAAAAAAAAAGTGAACAATGTGTCAAATTTGGGAAGTTCTCTTTGCATGAATAACTTTGTGAGCAATATCTATGCTGTTGGGAAGTGAATGGATGCCAGAGAAGCCTATAACTAAAACTAAAGTTCAGCCCATATGCATTTGTTCCCACAGAATTCAAAACACAAAACTTCTATTGACTGAGAAGAAAACCACTTATTATCCAAAACTTTGTATTTATGATCTGTTTCAAAGCAGCTCCTCCCTTCTTTTCTCCTATTCTCTCTTACCTTTTTAAAAAAACTTCTTTTTATATTTTGCACAATGAGAGAAGAAATAATTATAAGCTTCTTTTGTGACAACTAGTACTTCTCCTCCTCTTGTAAGTGGAAACAGCAACTAATTTCCCTGCTAATATTTACTTGTGGTGTGTGTCATTCTCCTCTGTCAGTTGTATTCCCTAACTTTTTATTGAGAATAAAGGAATTATGTTGTTCCTTTAGACATTTACGAATAGAATATTTTTAGACACTTTAAAACATTTACGAATAGAATATTTTTAGACACTTAATTTTAAGTGTCTTGATTGGTTTTTTTTTAAATTTTTTTTCTTGACTCCGAGAAAGATCATTCTAGACCCCTGAAGTGAGATACTGCAGAGCTTAGGATAAAGTAGAACAACCACTTTGGGGGAGAAAAATATGTCCACACAAATGACGTTACTACTTAACTATTTTACTTCAGTCACATACATAACTATTCTACACTGACTAGTCTCAAATATTCATGCGATCAAATTTTATTGGCATCAACAGTCACGGCAGGTGAATTGCGGAGTCACATGCAGCTGCATTCAGAAAGCAACATTTTAGAATCACATGTGGGAGAGCTCACACAAAGTCTACCACAGTTATCTTATAGAAGAAAATCCACTAGGCTTAATTTGTTCCATTAAGTTTGATGAGACAGCATATCGCAGGCTGTTTACTACTTTTACAGGAACAGGAAACGATCACATTTTCCAGATGTAGTCCTTCAACTCCATAAATTATCATTAAGGTTTGCCGTTTGCATTATTCAGAGCTGCACACATTCCGCTCCTGTCTCATTGATCAAGTCAGTCTTTGGACTGTAAAATAATTACAAATAATGGATTTGCAGTTTTTTGCTTTACAATTCACTAGAACAAGAAACAGTTGTTGACATGTACACAATTTTATTTTAAAGACACAGCAATCACAATGACAGAAACAGAACCATTATTTTAATACTGTAAGCTTTCCTCTGGAAACTGACTTGCACACAGTTAGATCCTGAAAGCATTTTAAACAATACCTTGGGGGAAAACACAGCAAACCTTAAATATATTAACTTCAAACTTTATGTGCTTATCTCCTCTTTTTGGTAGCCGGTGGCAGTTAAAGCTCTTCAAAGTCATGGCCACTTGTATTCATTGCTTCAGGGTGCATTACCCTTCCCATGAATAAGACAGTACCTGTGGAAAAAGTGGGAAGGGAGGAAGGGAAGATGTCAGAACCAAGAGGAAAAGTTGAGGTTGTAAGATGACAAATACTCCTAAGTTCTAGAGCATGAGGTACAGAAATTTTAGAATTTGGTAGCCATGAAAGGCAATGGATCAACAGTCCTAGAGAAGAGGACCTCTTTGCATTTAGAACTGACACAGTGCAGAGAAGAACAGTGAAACCCTCTGCATTTAGGTGCCCCTCTGCTTATTCTGAAGGCTTGATTGCAAACCCACCAGAAATCACAAAGGTTCACTTTCATTTCAATGCTTCTGATGAAAGCCCATGAAGTACTGCCACTGATCTCAAGCACTAATGACACAGTACTGGTTTCTAGGCTGGTGGGCTCCAAAGGTGGCAGCTAACCCTAACTGGAGTGCAAACACCAAATCAGAGTAACCTTTGTGATTGTTTCTGACCCTCAAATGCATGAGCTGCTGGACAATATTCCTCACAGAATTAAAAGTGAGCCCCAGAAGCTCCATGCCAATCAGCTAATGATCATTAACAGATAAGTACTTTGAGTTCACAAATTTACTCCCCATTAAAGCATACAACCCACAACAAGGAATTTTCTGGATGAATATTGCTCCCCTACGCTATTTAATCACCATTTACATCTTTCCTGTTTTATAAAATTTCTATCTAACTTGTTTAAACACAGTAATCAATCATGAGCACTTAGGGTATTCTTGGGAAGAAGGGTAACTACCACAGAGTTTTTAAAAAGGTTTCTGACCTTAGATTTCTAGATTAGTAATAAGCTTTCAGCCTTAACTATAGTTACTGGCAATTCCTCTTTCTACATGCAACAACAACTGTGCAACATTAAGAACTGCCTCAAGGCTACAAACTCTACTCAGTTGTGATTGAAACTTTTCTTTTGGGAGAGATTTTTTTTGTATATTGAGCAGGGGAAAGGTCAGATACCCTCTCCTCAAAACACATTTTTGACTAAGTATTACAGCAAGGATACTCAAATTAAGAACTGCCTCAAGGCTACAAACTCTACTCAGTTGTGATTGAAACTTTTCTTTTGGGAGAGATTTTTTTTGTATATTGAGCAGGGGAAAGGTCAGATACCCTCTCCTCAAAACACATTTTTGACTAAGTATTACAGCAAGGATACTCAATTTAGTTTTGCTCAAAAAAAAAAAAACAACAAAAAAACCACACTAAGAGTTTGAATCATGCCTTGCAAAAAAGTGACCCTACCATTTCTGCAATCTACATGGTTTAATAAACATTGATACCTATGATGGGGATCTCAAACACAGAAAAAAAACCTCTCAAATTGAACCTATTGGAGTTTGCTTGTAGAACACACAGACCCATAGGTGGGTGTAGAGTAACGATTTGTCACCCAGACACATCCACATCATTAAGACAAATTACAAATATGAAACTGAGGAACTCCTTAGTCATTGCCCATTTTGCTAGTGAGTGCTGCTCTCATCCCTTGCCTGCCACGGAACACTTCAAGAGCACAACAGAATTATTCATAGCTGTAATATCTGCCCATTATGCAAATCATTTGGTACTGGGAACACATCTCACTGGTCTTACTACAGCCAAGCTCTTACGGAATGCAATTATTATGGATATTCAGGACCGTAACACTGTGTTCTCTGAAGAAAAAAATGGTGATTTTTTTCTTCCTCTGGGTTTTTAATCATGTAATTGTGAATATTTTTCAGTATTATGTCAGAGGTCAGTCTTTCAATATTAGGTATTTTAAGACAAATTAAGGAAAACCCATAATACAATGCCATTTCACTGATCAAAATGGGCAATTTTCTTTTGCATACATGATGAAGTACTGTGAAAAACAAAGAGTTTGCAATATTCTCACCTGTTCTTCTGTTTCTGACCAAAAAGAAAAAGGGATGATCAACTATAACTTGGGGATACAGCACTGCCATTCTGCTAATGGCAATCATTCCTAAAGGAAAAAGAACACAGGCAACTTGTTAAATACCACTGCACATTATCCTGCTCTTCAGAAGAGATACTTGTGAAGTTCATGAGTAGACATTCAAGTTTCACACCCTTGGAACTTAGTGTCACCAAGAAATAGCATGAAAAATCTAACTGAAAATGAGAGAGACCCACAGAGCACTTGCAGGCCTATTTATGCTTTAAGAATGATTAACAAGGGAGAGTGGCACAATTTCTCAGGCTGAACGAGCAGCTTATAAATTATAAGACCCAGAACCTGAAGAGGAGTTAGGATTCCTGCTCACTTTTAGGAAGAAAATGCATTACACTAGACAGCACTGCTGACCTGTTTTAAACAGCTCCAAGCCTGCAGTTGATAGTAAGAGGTAACCCTGAATAACTATGGAATATGCAACAACTAAATGGGCTGATCTTGCAGCTTTTAGCTTCAGTCTTTAAATAATGCAGAGGCTGAAAGTAAAATTAACTGGGAATCAGGCAGAATTTGACTCTTATTTTTATTTGGAGATGCACAGATTTCTCCAGGACAGTAGTATTATTTCTTAGTGTTTCATATACTTTTACATTTTCACTGCACTCTTAATACAGACTCACGCATGGCAGTAATCTCTGCCCATATTTAAGTTACAATTTAACCCAGGTCCTGATACTCATGACCAGGGAAGCCATTCTTCCTTTCCTCAAAAACTGGTACAAGTAGAGGCAATTAGAAATCACTTAATGCTACATATTGGCAACTAAGTAACTTATTTTCAGGAAAAGCATGTGATAACCACAATAACCACCCTCCCCTGGCCTCCTAGCATTAATAGTGGCCAGCTATGGTTTTGCATTTAGCACTTTCCATCTTGCATGAGCTTATTAAAATGAAATTGTAACAGCTCTCAGCTCCTTTTAACTATTTTGGATCAAATGCCTCTGACCATCTCAATTAGCAGATCAAAAACTACAAATGCTTAAGTTCCATAAAGAAAGAATAAATTGCAGTCTGTACCCTCCTGACAATCATGAGCAAAGTAAGGAAGAAGAGGTTTTCCACAGGATGCTCAAAACTTCCTGGAACACATGTTAAAAAAACGCTAACACAAAGTTTCCAGAATTCTCTTCTGAAAAGCAGTATAGTTGCTATGCTACATGCTATTTAGCTTTCCAGTTTTAAAAAATTAATTAACACAGAGTAACCAGACATTTGATTTAGTTCAGCTTTTCAGTCAGCTACCTGAGGCAGCAGCAGCTTCTGATCCTTCCTCATTAACTTCTAGAAATGCCTTGTGAAATGCCTTTGCAAGGTAAAGTTCCTTGTTATCTGGAGAGGAAAAGGAAACACATTTCAAGTGGCTCAACAGCAAGAGTGAAGTACTTAAAAAAAACCAAACACTGCCAAAAACCCCAACACTTTTGTCCACCAAGCAGGGAAGAATAAGAGCTTTGTACATAGGAGTTGCATTAAAATACCTCCTGACAACACCTTCAATGGCACCGTTTACCTCTTAAATTTGTAGTACTCTCCTACACTATGGATATTAAAAGAGCCTGGCACTGTCCAGAGCACCAGTAAACTGGACAGAATGAAAGACAGTCCTTGAACACAAGACTTTCAAATGCAACCACTGGAATAAAAAGATTATGACTTTATACGGCAAATATTTATACATAAAGAATTTTATTTGTGCATTAGGTACAATATAGACTTCCTCCAGAAAAATTTGGTATTTTTTTTCCTCTTGTTATATTTAAGAGAAGCTGAGGAGAATTATTTGTTGTAAAAACCACATGGAACTAGGTTTTCTCAGCCTTGTTTGTTTTCAATCCCTCTTTATCAGCGTTTCCATTTCGGTCCAAGCCTACTCCTTCTTAAGTCAGTGGATGTTTCATTACTTTTCTTCTCTGGCTAGACAACCAGACCTATTGGAATATACCCAGCACCTTGCAGGAAGCAAGACACACACCACCATTTAATCTGAGTTTCATCAGAAAGACATAACAAGGATTCGATATACATTTATTGTACCTGCATAAAATCCATAGTAATGACAGAGGACAACTGGCAGTTAAAGGAATAAAAGCTTTCTCAACGGAGAGATACACAACCATGAAAATCTAATCTATTCACCCCGGTGAGACAGCTATACACCATTTTGCATTTCTGATCCTGCACGAAATGTTTAACACCAAAACTCTAGCTGAAGGCTGTCAAAGGAGGAAAAGCTTGGGACTATTCATCTAATTGTTACCCATTTATTTTGATTCTCACACCGACAGCCACTAGTTCTATTACTAATGCAAGGCAAAAGCACAAGAGACAGCAGTTTAAGATGTCTCTCCCCAGATCTCATTACTGCTACACACACTCAGAGCTGAAGTAAACCTCTTGGTTCAGCTGCTTAACTTAAATCTCATCAGCAAAAGCCCTGAATCATTCCCTTTGGGACTGTACGTAGTAAAACATACTAGATTGCTACAAATTTTACTAGTTCTAGACATCAGTTGCAAGCCTTCAGTAATGCTATCCTGAAAGTCAGGATGAAGTTTCGACCCTGTTACTTTAAAACACAGGGCATGCAGCATCTGCTCATCTGCAACACTAAGCAAAATTCTAACAGCTTTTGTTTCCTTAACTGTTAACAGAAAGGCCACCTGAAAACACAGTGTGGTACCACTCCAACACTAACATCATCTTTAAGTCTGTAAAAAATGAATCACAACCTAAGTAAATACTACAATCATGCATTAAACATTCATGCCCTTAACCTTCTGTTCCTTTTCGGACCCATTAAGACTCAAAGTTTCAAAAAATATATTAGAATAAACACAGGATGTGCAAGAACATTTACACAGGTGACAATGGATAGATACTATAATTCTATACCCAAGGCAAAAAGGGCGACAGATCCATGCACATCAGCAAGTCCTGTTAAGCATGTCTCACATTACGTGTGTGCTGCCTTTGTAAACATGTCAGTTAACAGGATTCTTGATAAGTTTATTGGTCACTTCTGCAAATTCTACCTTCTGGGCAGCTGTATTTTGTTATCCTCGTTTGAGCCCCTTTCAAAGCTCTATTGGGCATTTGAGCTATACAACACATGCCAAAAGAAAACAGTAATTTTGCAACCCTTAGAGAAAAATCTTGGTTTGGAGTTCCTTATCTTAAACCCAAATAAATTTTTTATGTTTAGTAAGAGACAAAGAAATGCCCACTCAGCCTAATCATGTATTTCAATCAAATTGTTTTTTTTTTTTTTTATTACAGCACTTAAGCTTGCTCCTGTGACCTGTAATATTCTCAGTAATACCCTGTATTTTCACCCTGAAGGCTTTATTTTGCATAGTGTGGTGATGCTTATGGTACCCCAAGGTATATTTCTCATCAGAGCTCTTAGCACCTTGGAAGACTGGTCTCCCATCTGATGAGCTTACAGACCTTAATTCAGGTAGTCAGCCTACTTGTAAATGTATTCAGGAACTGAGTATTAAAAAAACTCAATGATATTTTGTTGACAGGAATAGAAGAGGTGGCACTGCAGATGAGACCAGTACGTCCAATTAGTCCAGCACACTGCTCCAGCTGTAATATCTTTGTTGTTTCAGAACAAGATACAAGAAGCCTTACAAATTAAAACTACAGCACAACTTACAAAGAAAAAAATCCTACAACCCAGCATGCGCCTTGTATCCTAAACCAAGAATACAGAATCTATATAATACACAGAATGCCTTTATTCAATGTACTATAGGCAGTTCTGATTGCTCTGAGGCAATTTCTTTCTTTTTTTAAATTCTACCAGTCTCACGACCTCAGAGAATACCCAGCAAAGATCTCTGTGGTCACGTTTTCCGTAAGAGAAGTACTTTGTGTTTGGTTTCAATTTGTTGCCTTTCACTTCATTGGATGTCTTTGTCCTTGAGTGGTGAAAAGAGAAATTCCACATCCCAGTTTACTTTCTCTAGACTCTTCTCTTTATATTGCCACAATCACATCCCTCTCTTTCGTCTCACTCTCTGAAGTGAATGGATCTATTTTCATGTGGAAGCGTAATTTTGTCACCGAATGCTCAGACATTCTTCTCTTCGATCTCTTTTGTGACTATCAAATCACTGACTGCCATACTTCAATATCACACGCACTTTGTCATTATTATACATCTTTCCTTTATGGCTTTAAGTGTGGATAAGGTGTGCATTACCCAAGTATCTACTATCATGTCCTTTTTCTCTAATAGCTTCTTGGAATCTGGATTTTCATTAGCACCAACACGATTCGATTGTTAGAACCAACACAATTTGATTGTTAGCATCTCAGAAAAGTACCACGGAGATTTGGTATCAGAGTTGAATTTTTCTGTAGGACCCTGGCCTAGATACCCATTAATGTGTGGGAGTAAGCTGAGACTTACTTCTAATGTACGTGACTCCGTTAGCATCACATTTCATTTGTCATTACACTCCATATGCTTGCAAACTCCTACTCAAAGCTGCCAACTGGTTGCTCTGCAAGTCTCATTTTAAAAAAAGCATGCAGGTTTATTGGCTTTTCTAGCTTAGACTGTCCCAGAAAAATTATACCTACCTTGGTCAAGACTTCAAAGAACTATTTACTGGACTGGTGCTCTTTTAGCTACTTTACATTGTGAAAGTCCAGATTACTTCACTGCTTACTGAAATGCAGGTCACCCTGAGGTTAAAAGCAGTTGCCATTTAAGGTGTTATATAAGAGTAAGAAATCTTATAATCATTTAGAAGAGGAGAATTTTAGTATTGAAATTAGTAAAGGTAAGAAAGGGTAAATCCTATGTAGTGTCAAAATACTCAAGTAGCAAGTTTACGTGCTGTGTAAATTATAAAATCCCAAATACCAGAAGTTGTTTCAAGATTCTTTTGAACTCCTGATGGAATCACAGATGCAAGTAAAACCTGTCAAAGTCTTTTGCTGAGAGTCAGACTACATGCAACTAGACAGCCAAGTAGGAATGTACTCCTACTCATCGGTGTTAATTGACAAAGAACTTAATTTCTGCATGACAGTAACATTTAAAATGTGCATCTGGATTAATACTTTCCCCTCTGGTTGCTCACAATCCAGATATTCCGAAAGATCAAGTTGACTCATCCATTTCCATTTTTCAGATTGAGTGCAAAAAGCAAAAAAATTCTAAATATTGAAAAATAAATCTGTAATCCTGCAATTTGACTTATATCCACTAAACCCACATATATTTCACTGAACTCAACAATCTGTGCCTGGATCTGATTACAGGATTAGGCCCGTTGTTGAAATTGCAGAAGGCTTTCCTTGACAATAATCCAAAGGCAAGAGCAACAGGAGAGGAGGTGGAGAGTATTTTTAAATGCAACAGAATTTCTGAGAAATCTCCTTAGATTTTCTTTTGTGATTTGTATCTTCCTGAATTAGAAGTGTCCAGACAAACAGTTTGTTCAAGTATCTGAATTTCAGGTTTCACGAAATACCAAATTTTTCAGAGGGCTGATGCTGAAGATGCACAAAAGCTTCCCAATTCAACTTACCTGAATAGTAAGTCAGGTAACAGGGAATTGCAAAAGGAAGATAGCAACATTTTTCTTTATGATTTTTTTTTCCTTCCCTTCCCATTTTACATTGTGAAAATTAGAACAGAAAATATATTTTGTATTTTAATTACTTAAAATTTCATCTCCATAGCATCAATAGGAAGGTTTTCCCTGTAGACATTAAAAACATTTTCTTATTCTTAATTTATGAATAACCTTTTCATCACCTGGTGACATATAGCCTTTTAAGTGAAAAGCAAGAATGTTACGGTAAAACTAATGAATTTTGTCCATATTCTCTCTGTATTACTTAATAAACAAGTTAATCTTTAAATGGCAGAGGAGTCAATTCAGCCATGCAAAACGTGGTATTTTGATTTTACACGGTACAATTGTAAAAAGTATAAAACTTTCAAAAAAGTCATTAGTCGCATGACTAAAACACAAGCATGTTCCAATCTTTCTGCTAAACTCTCTCAACTATAGAATTAGTCTCTGATAGATATTTGAATTTTACATGACACTAAATAAGAGCCAAGCACTGCCTTTGTGGTTCAGTATCCCGTGTACTTTCCATTCTGTTTAGTGCCTTTCCCCAAGTAAATACTTTTCTATATAGAGACCAGAACTTATTGGAAAGCTGACTTTTCTTTGGGCTGGTGGAGAAATCAATGGCGTTTTTTTCTTAAGAAAAATGGTACTTTTTTTGAAGAAGGATTTTTCTTTTATTCAAATTCTTTTCCCATTGGCTAACTCTAGATCTTCCCACAATTTCAATCAAAAAGTGAAAGCAGCAGAACAGTGGAACAAGCTACACGATACACTATGAACATTATTTCAAACTTAGCAAAAGCAAAAAGTATATGAAGATCCCAACCATTTCTGCTGTAAATTTTAGAGGAAGGTTGGCCCTCATTACCACTATTTTGAATAAGCCACCCAGGTGTGATTGCTTCCAGAAAGAGACAATTAAGAACAGGTATTTCCCATCAGCTAATGATCGGTCTGGCTGATTAGGCAGTAACCCACAGAGCTAAAAAAAACAACCCAAAAAAACCTCACAGAGAGCAGTATATAAGCATAAATTACAAGAGCAATGACTGCAATCTCACACTGGTGCATGTTGGGCTTGCCAAAATTAAGATCTAGACAGACCATGCTAAATACACTGCTCATGTGGATACTTTTGATACAAAAAAAATGAAACTTCTCAGGCAAGTGTGACTCAATCTCCATTTTGTGCCACTTCAATACCTTGTAGGAGGTATTAAAAGCAGAAATATCTCATTTCCACCTGAACGTCTAAGTGTATTGGATATTTTAACTTCTGAAAAGCAATTGTTGACAACATATTGAAACAGGCAAGCACCATTTGTGATTAAATTCCTTTTACCTCAGAACTCTTTCTTTCCTGTGCTGTTTCTATACAGCAGGGATCTGGGGAGATGACTAATTGTACAACAGCTTAATGCTCTTAATGCTGTGAACAAATAGCCTCCAGAGATAAAAGATAACTCCCTTGATGTGCAAATCCCATTTGCCATCAAGGCACCAAAGCCATACATTGCTCTATGGTGGATCTGCCTCTTGCACAGTATCACACTTTCTCTACGGTTCTAATGTGATCCAATTCTGAAATACTCAAGAGTGAACCTTCCCAGGCCAAAAATTCCTCCCACCTGATGGATTTCTCCCCTGCCCCAAACTGCTCCTACAGTGAGCACACAAAAATCCCAAAGGCTCAGAAAATTGCTAGAAGGTTGGGGTTTTTTTCTCCATAAAAATCTCTTTGAAGATCTTCTTGGTTACCTTTAGGTGATTTTGGTGCTTCCATATAAGCCTTGCGAGACAATACAAGAACCTCTTACCAGACATGGCAGTGAGGTCAGCGCTGCTGCTGAACAGCTCTGTAATTCCGAGACCTCTCCAGACATCCTTCAGATCAATTTCCTGTTCTACTGTGAACCTGCAGAACAGAAGAGAAAATTACAAAAAGCCCAGAATGGAAGCAGCACTTACTCTTACCAGGAGGTTAAAATTTCTAGGTAATGACAGTTGAAGCGCAGAAATAAATAATGTAAAGTAGGAGATTCAGCACCAATAGTACAGCATAGTGACACCTTCTACACAAATGCTTACAAACAAATTAGTTTACTCTCACAGTTGTTTTTCTTTTCCCCCTAATGCAGAAGCAATTAAAAATATGCTAATCCTCTGTAGAGTCCCTGACCATAAAACCTCAGTGCAAAATTATGCAGTAGCTAATGTAAATGCTTACTTTTTATACAATTTTTTTTTAATACTATAAAAACTGAATTTAATTGTAGATGTACCAGAACAGAATTTCAAATAAGGCAAAGGACAGCACAAATTTCATAGACAGCTGTTGGCAAAGGAGGAATATGAAGGCAAGACGCACGCTCCATTTTTACTTAGTGTAAGCAAAGACCAGCAGTTATGAACATGAATAGAAAGCCCAAACCATGACACTCAGCTTCTAATTACTCTGGTGGCAAAATTTTAATTGGGTTTTGATTGTGAGTAAAGAACAGGGAAAACAAATAGCTGTTAGAGCAAATGCACATGTGAGTACAACCTGGCAGGATTTCAGGATTAGCTTGCAAAGTCATGTTCTAGCCTATGTTACTATGCTAGAAGGACAAATTGTGATTTATCCTGAGGGCAAGAAGGTGTATTTTTCCTTTTCTGGCTTTTATTTCACCACAATTAGTATTAAATATATCAAGTTTTCAAGATAAATTATCTATTAAGTAGCAACGTCAAACCAGTAAAGAGTATCAGGATAGGACACTCGTGAGAAATGTCTGCATGAAAAACAAAAGTTGAGGTCACAAATAGAAAAAATAACTGCAAAACCTTTGTTTTTTTCCAACTGCAGAGAATCACTATAAGATATAAATGGAAATTAAGTGGGTTTAAGTCTCTGGACCACTAGACAGAAAACACAGGTATCTGCTAAGCAATCAATTGTGACTCAGAAAGCATGACCAAAGATGCTTTTTTTTTTTTGGGAAATGTTACTGAAAAACAAAAAAAATATTACATCAGCTGGTATAAATACCAAACTATCCCTTTTACAAAACCAAAATTAATTACTTCCCTTGTCCCCTTTTAGTTTTTTCATATGGTAAAGAGTCATCCTAAACCACTACTTGAAATAGTATCTCCCCTAGTACCTGCAGAAGAGCAGTAAGTTACAGACAAGCAACAAACGACATTTCAAATACTTTAGCTCATCAAAACTAGCTGCTTCTGAAAAACAATAGGGCTGCTTTATGCTTTGAAATATAATTTCCAGCAATGCAAACCGATGTAAACATTTGGTATGAGTTATCCTCCAGTCATGTTTGGATTTCTTTGCGTTCCTTAGTGATGTAGGTATTCAAAATCAAAGCTGACAACCTAGAACCCAGAAGAGACATTCAATCTCATTTCCCAAGCCAGGCATTTGCTGTACCTCCAGACTCCGGAAATGCTGAGCTACATGATACTGGCCCTGACACATGGTTATTTGCAGTGTTTGTCGCATATAATGAACCAGATGCTCCTATTTTTTTTCCCCCCACCATCTTTCAGGCCTTTCCGATGCTAAAAATATTATTGAAAAATCAATTTCAATACTTCTGTATCAGAAGTCATGGAATAGTTGCAACTAAGAGCACTAAAAACCACGAAGGGAAGTCTGAAAAAGCTCAGACATTGAAGAAAATATGAGGTATTTTCACCATAGGACTAGAACAAAAAGACTGGTCTGTTGAGCCAACAGGAAACCTTTGGTAGTTAAGTAGTTCTAGAAGGTTCACCAACACACATCATGGATCTATGTTCTACAGACCTCCTTCAAAAGTACTGAGCCAAAATAAATTAAAGATACTGACTGCCCATCAGCCATTAGCCAAAGTCAACGAGAAGTGAAGATGGGAGTTAGCTCTGTATTTATTTTTACAATGCTCATCTGTAAAGTCTCTTTACTTTCCTACATGTCAAATGCAGCCCAAATAGCTGAACAAAAATACTTCCCTTGATTTCCACTGCCTCTGAATCTCTTTCACATGAAATTAAGGATGTAGTAAAATGCTTAGGAAGTGGAATTAGACTGAGAAACTATTACACAGGTCTCTGGAAAGTTTAGCAGAGAATGATGACGTTTTAATGAAATTTAAAATTTATACAGGCATTAGATTAAAATGATGCATTTACGTCACCAATAGTCTCCTTAGTTATGTATCTGAACCTTCACATTTTGAGTAGAGCATTAACTTCAGCATACCACATGAAGCCATCTTTCTTCTATTTTACAGACTTTCAAGAGAGAAGAAAACATGGCTTCATCTTGTACGATGCTGTGCAACCCTTCTGAAATGCTGAATTTTTTGTGAAGTCCTTAGATGCTCAGGATCCACAGAACCAAGAAGGATTAAGGTACACTCTCTAGTTATACAACCAAGAAGTGAACTAGAACAGAGTGTGATTCATCCCTAAGGCTATAATTTCAAAAATTACTAAGAGTTCTGCATGAGAGAAAGCAAGAAATTCCAGGTTTTCAGATTGGTTCTAATGTATTATACTTTGCAGAACAAAAAGGAATGGCTCCATTGCTTGAAATGTACAATATTCTTGTTTGGAGGACAGGCCCTCAGGATTCGAATCACATTTTACCCTAGTAAGCAGCCTGCAGAACAAAGCTGCCAGATGATACCAATTCCAACATTTTGGGTGGAATTTCAGCTAGGTTGTCCTGAGGTGCTAGAACTAGCCTGCGTGATTTAATAGCCTGAAAACCAACAAGCAAACACCAAAAAACAACCCCACTAACAGCAAAAAACAAACCAAAGAAAACTCATACAGCTGCTCTGATCAGGTGAAGACAGATGATGGTTCTTTCTCTGGGAAGGTCCTTCTATCCAGGGCTAAATACAGGCTGCAGAAGTTGGCTAACAGCGTATTTCAGTGGGACAATTTTGTGCCTCTTCCATGACTGTACCACAAGATCAGCACTGGCCTATTCCTCATGAAAAGGGACAAAGGGGACCCAAGAGAGCATGTTAAAAGAAGAGAGAATGTCTGGGTTTTTTTTTCATTTGGGATAGGTTTTGGTTGTTTTGTTGTTTTTTTTTGGAGAGGAAACAACTTCCAGATAAAAGAACTTATCAGTTGAATGCTGTCTAAGGCATTTTAAAGATATTTTAAATGTACAAAAAAGCAAGAAGGTCATTATAGTGAGCCGAGCACATTGGAACAATCCTTAAGAGGAGATCTGCAGACAGTAGCACTGTTATTAGGTACTACTTCCTCCTATGCTTTTCAAATAATTTGTTAGACAGACAGCTTTGTAAATTAGATTCATGGTCTGTTTCACCCCTATGCAAAAAGTGGATTAAAATGTTGATCACTTTAGTCTGGGTTAAGCTGGAAACAATGATTTGGAAATGAAAATGAGAAAGTATAATTTAACAATTCTCTACAAATCTCTCCTTTGCTATTAAGAGGAATAACACACAATTTCATTTGCACAAAGATAATGCAGACAGAAATTGGAAAGTTGTGATTAACTCTGTTTTGGCTAGTCATTCAGGTCCTATTACAAATGTATAAGTTTAAAAAATGCTCACTTTATAATTGGATAGCATCTTTCAGGATATAAAAATTTAATTTTATTCCACTGCTTTCAATTTCTCAGTGGACAGAGCCTGCAGGCCACATTTCATAACATGCCTTTCTGAGTCAGAGCATCAAATATTTATGAAGTGTTTATTTAGAGCATTGATAAAATCCTGTAGATCACCTCTGAATCCCTAAATGGAAATCCAACACCTTGGGAGCGTGCAATAAATCTTTGGAATCTTTGTAAGGAAACTGCAGTATTAGCATATGGAATTTCAAGCTCATGATAGTTATCTTTTATAATCTGAAAACACTGAAGGTAATCAGCACCTGATTGTACCTGTTTTGCTTTTGTATCGCCTTAATTCACAAGTGTTTACCAAGTTATTTAAGGTTCTTGGATAAGAGCGACAGGCATGACAACTAGCCTGAGGATGGAATAAATAAGTACATTTTATGACCACACAAATCCTAAGCCTCAAAATCACATCCGAGAACCTGGCTATCTGAAAATCCTGGAGTCTCTGCTTTTGATTAAAAGCAAATATCAAAACAACCTCTATAATCTTAATTCGAGTCACAAACATAATTTATATGTTTTCAATGACATCCGTGTATTTAACTTGAGATACCTAAGATTCTTAAATTTGAAGCTAGTTTTCATAGAATACGTATATAAGGAAGGGACAGACATTTCTGTTGTGCATCTCTCACTCTAGGAATTCTTTGAGAGAAGATGCTCAACTTCAGCACCTGACACACAGGCTGTGAAACGCTCCACACATAAAAGTAAAGCTTTATGGATCAAAGAATCCTTATCTTTTACTTCTCATGAGCATCTAGGTACAGTTTGCCCAAACCTGGAGGAGAATTATAGCCTAGGAGAAAGGCCCCTCCTCTGCATCTTAGTGGACTGTTAATACTAAAGCTCCTGGGACCTGAAGCTCCAAGAGAAAAACAAACAAAAATATCCCAGGAATAATGTACAGTAGGTTCAGTTTGCATAAAACCTGCAATGCAGCTCTTTGCTGCTCTCCCTGCTTCTTCAAAGGAAATGCTACTTACTAAGGGACAGAGAAAAATAGCCCCAAAATGCAGCTGTTCCCTCACCACTCTGACTCCAAACGTAACAGCTTTAAAGAGAAGCGGAATTCCATCTCGAGCGGGAATCAGGGCACGCTGACAGCACCAGTCTCTTTCAACCTTATTCATCCTGGGTCGCCTTGGTTTATTGTGCTCAACTGCAGTTTGCTTCTTGAAAGTGGTCTTTGCTATGGAAAAGCAGCTGATAAACTGCAGGGATTCTTGCCCTGCTCTTTACATGTGAAATATAACAAACTCAAACCTCCAAGTCATCTGAAAACAAAGAACTATTTTAATGATTAAAAGGATTCACTACAGTTTATTTTTTCTCCTGCCACGTACCTGCTGCACAGTGCCACAAAAGGAAAACAAGTGATTCAAAACAAACTTGTGCCATATTTTTATATAAACACTTCAATGAAATCTTTATGAATCACTTGAAGGACACCATGATCCAACTATACATTATTAGTGACATTTAGTAGTAAACAACTCTGTTACTAAGTCAAGAGTAGGGCAAGCATGAAAAATATTGGAAGGTAGATGAAATAGAATTCTAGAAAAGATAACGAAGTGGTGTATGTGAGCAAATACACCGCTGAGCACACACAACTTATGTCTACAAATGAACCAACTGAAGTGTCATCCTTTGTGGTTGTAACGTCTTGTTATTCTATTGCTCCTCTAAGGAAAAAGAAACCAGCACTTATTACAACTAAGAAAAAAAAAAGACAAGAGACACAAATTGACTGGAATTACCCCTCAACACTCAACCATTTGTATCTACACAGACACACACCATTAGGACTTTTTAAATTAGCAGCACGTAGAAATCTAATTAGGACCTAAATGAAACTTTTTTAGCTTTGGTTAATTCAGACTTGCAATATTTCTATGGCTCCTGTCTAAATGGAACTTACCCATAATGAGTTCTGTAATACCCTGAGCATCATTCAGGCTGGATATATTCCTGATGATACAATTCTCCTTTCTGGAGCTCGCATAAAGACATGCAAATGCAGTGCTCATCTGCTGCTCAAACCACCATCATTCTGCACTGCACACCCCCTGGGCTTCCTTGTCAAAGCAGCCTTCATGTGGGTGCTCTATAACTGCAGACTTGATCAAGATGTTCAGGTTTTACCTACTCTGCTACTCCAATCAATTTGAATGCAGCTTTTCAGCTTCTAATGACATGAGAGCATATTCTCACCTTGGTAAATACACTTCCACTTTTTGCTTCTTTACAGAATTCGCCCATTCATTAATCAACGAGGCTTTGACCAGCGGTTCCAATGTGGCCAGTGGAACTTCCTGTCTGGAGAGAACGATCATCATACTCATCTCATCTCCCTCATATGGTATTTCCAGAACTTGATAGATACCACCTGCTTCATTGGAGCCATCGCTGAACTCTCCTACAAAAGAAAAAAACACAACACCACCATAAGCTATTAGAAGTATTTTCTTTTGTCTTCACTGGAGATAGGGGAAAATAGAAGGCTAATACTAGGCAGTATTTACTAGATGCTGGAACTAACAATGGCCCTTTCTATTCTGTTCTGGATGAAATATATATTGGCTTTTCATTATAGGATTTGAGGCTTATATCTGCTTTCTTAAAGAAAAGAAGCTTATGCAATCACACAGTTTGTAGGTAATAGGTTCAGAATTATGATAATCTAACTTCCATTGGTTCGACAGAGAGAAGACTAAGTTATTAAGGCTGCCAGGACTTCCATGGAAATGGGCAGAAGTTTTTTTTATTCAGGAGAGATAATTTGTCAATGATGAGACTGAGTGAAATGCTGCCAATGCTAGATGCTGTAGAACCCACCTGGAATTCAAGCTCAAGATAAAGGAGGACTGCTGTTCAAAGAACCCCTATTTTACCTTTCTGAGGATATTACAACAATAATGAGCAAACATTATCCATTTTAATATTTAGCACAGCACAAGAAAAACATTTTAGTGAGAGCATGATTAGCTCAAGGACTGTTAATATAGATAGAATGGATAAACATTCTGAAATCCATCATGTGGCACCAAACACATATCTAAAAAAGTAATCAAGAGAGAGGTCATTATAAATGTTGCCATCCAGTTATAATACACAAGCAAGCATATTACAAAAAGACATCAAAATCAGATTCCCTTCATTGGGCAAACACCACATTTAAAATTCTAGGTGAAGGAACAAACAACAATACAAATGAATATTACTGCAACAAAACTATTAAGGGAAGAATTATTAGCTTTAAGTTGCTAAAGCTCCAACTCACCATAGTAAAACTCTCCCTGCTGGTACATCATTGGAATCTGCACTTCACTTTCATCATCTTTAGTAAATGAAAAAGTTCTTGTATTTTCAGGTCTGAACTGTGATTTCCAACTGCCTTTAAAGTAGATTGCGTTGATGAGAGCCAAATGAGTTAGAGCACCAAAATCTCTTGATGACACAAAATCTTTGATCATATCTAAGAAAAAAAAAAAACACCCAACTGTCAGTCTGTATGTCAAATTGAGCATTAAATCAAAACTTAAGACAGCTTGAAAAATGCAAGAAAATAAAAAGCTGTAATTTCCAATTCAGATGTTCCATTAAATCTCAAATTAAACTGCCAGTGTTTTGTAAACCTAAATCACAGTGTAGGTGCATAAACTCTTCCATGGAGTACATGTTAGTCAACTGTTTCTTCATCACTACTTAAACATACCCCACAGTGAAACCAGGTGGAAAAAGGGGTCACATAAGAAATATTTACATTGGTGCTATAATACAATTCAGCTTTATCGTCTTAAGGTCAGAAATTCTACAAACTTTGGCTCCAACCCAAAGAAGCACTTAAACAGGTCCTTAAAGTGTATAAGTATACCCATTGGAACTTCACCTGGGCCAATTCTGAAGGAAGCATTCAGTTTCAGTAATGTACTACTGACTTCAAGGTAAGGACTAATCATAGAAAAAACCCCAAACCCATAAATTCACAGCATTTGTTCCACTGACATTAGCTCTTGAAAAGCAAGAGAAAAAAAAACACATCTAGCATCTGCTCTATTCATGGGAGGTATGTCAGCTGAGCGTGGCAGCTGCTTTGCTCCTACTCCTCAATAAGTCATTTACATCATCAGAAAACAGTCTGTTACCTGCTTTAGCTCATCTTAAACGGCCTGTTTTTCAGCAGAATAATTTCAAGTTTATTAAATTTGGTGCACTGACCAGGTTTGTCACTTTTCTTGACCAATTACAGCCTACTTCCAATAGCTTTCTTGCTCACTTCTATTTTTAACTGACATTGTAATATGAGGTGTTAAAATAAACACATTCCCCATTATTATTTCTTAATCCATGGTTTAAAATACAGATTAGTTTTGCTTTCTGGAGCATATGACACTGACTACCTGGTGTGAAATCTGTATCATGGGGCAGTACTTCTTCTGGGTTGCTGTTTGTACTTCATTTTATCTAGAACATTCTTAGAAATGAGATGTTAGCCATACTGCCATATTCACTCTCCGTGTTGGAAAAAAAAGAAAAAATTAAGGAGTACACTTCCAGTTTTTCCATTTCTATTTGGTACATCATATGTCCTTAAATTTCATAGCCACATCTTGTTAACGCACTAATGTAACACTAAGAATTTTTCTGGCCAGAGAAACCTTGACAGTTATGTTTTCTGCTCTGAGCATCCCATCAAGCTTAACATGCTGGAATTGGAAACCTGCCTGTCTTGTACCCCTTTCCTAATGAGAAAATAAGGCTCCTCCGTCAGAGCTGGCAGGCAGGAGAGAACGAGATCTAGTGGTCATAGACTGGGCTGAGGGACTGTTACTATCGCAACCTACTGCTGAGAGCCCCACAGCTGCCTTTGTTAGCTCTGCACAGCTCCTGCCAGGGCAATGGTTATCAGCTCGGTCAGCACACGTGGCAGGTGTTAAGCAGGAGAACTTGCTGTTCTCTCCAAAAGAAGGAGAATTTTACTTTTCCTTCAGACAGACACCACGCTTTGCTGAAAATACTCTGCAATCTACTGCATCACTTACATTCCCTTATTTCTGTAGCTTGAGATAAAGGGCAGAATTTATTATGAATATAATAGCTGCTATTTTCCCTTGGAAAAAAACAGATCATTTCTGAAATGGAGTAAAAGCATTATATGAGGTGTTTTTCAGCTTTGGTGCCATACATTTCCATGAAGCATTATGGATTCTTAAATGTTCAGAATGGATTCTTAAATGCTCAGACTACACAGTGATGTGTTAATTCTTTACAGGAAATTCCGACACCTTCAAATTTACGATGGTACAACTGATGTTAGAGCCAGACCCCTGTTGAATTACTCTTAAAATATCAGCCTCCAGAGTGTGCCAGATGAACTAGAATGAGATTATGCTTTGATCCCGACCACGGGGGACTAACTTCACTCCCATAACTTGAGACTCTGCATGTATTCAGAAAGTGTCACAGCTTTGGGTTTCCACAAGCAAAGCAAGCACCACACCATGCGGATCTGAATATGCATATTTACATCAGTAATCTTTTGCTTACTCCCCTACTGCAAGTTTTTGTTGTGAAACTCTGTTGACAGTCTGTCTAAAATCAACTGCTCTCTCAAATGCTATCTAGTTTCCTCACATTAGAACAGACTAAAATACAGGGTTTGATATCGTGGCTGAAAATTATCTTTTGTATTGCTTAGTATTCTGTTTCTCAATACCTTGTAACTATGAGTTCCTCACAGAACTAGTGACACTCCACACAACTAACACAGAGGCCAATAACCACTTTGTGGACAACTTCTCTGCAGATAGGAATAGTACTTACCTGTTTTGTTTTTAATACTGAAATCAGTATTAAAATGCTATTCAAATACCAACCATCAAAACATTCTCCTTCAATAAATGTTGCAGGTACTTTAAGAGGGTAAGACTGGGAAAAATATTCAGACAGATACTACCATATGATTAGCAACAGCTAATATTACTTAAGATACTTAAGACAGATGACTCCTGCACAAGAAAATTAATTTCACAAAGAGCTGACACTAGAATTCTTTTTAAGAGAAAAAAAATACTTTATTCTAAAATGGAACAGATAAGAGGCAAGGCAACAATTCACCAACACTGTACAACTCTGGAAACATAAACACTTACTGCAGGAAGTATATAAAAGAATCATGTGGACTTACTATTTGTATGATTCTCCACCCACTTGTTGATGTGGGTGGCTACAGCTGCACTTTGGGTGAAGTCTACATTCTCGACTTCAGCTTTAAAGTATTTTTTCATCAGCTGCAGAAATTTGTCACTGATATGAAAGCCGTTCTGCACATAGAGAGCGTTAGCAATATTCAGAACATAATGACTTTCTTCAGTAGTTGCCATATCAGACAGGTCCTTCAAGAAGGTAAATTCTTCACCTGAGGAAAGAAAAACAGATTCAGTGTTTCAGAAAAGAAAGTTATTCCAAGTTTTTTTTCTGCTGGAAATTCACAAAGACATTTTATGCAAGCAAAAGAGAGTCCCTTTTTAAAAAAAAAACAACAAACTTGTTTCTAAACCTACACACACCTTCAGATCTGAAAGAACAATCTACAAGGCAGAACATATTATTTAGAGCTTATTTTTTTCTACTACCTATAATTAGCATAATTAACAAGATATTTGGATCCCGTCACAGACAAACCTATCAATGATAATCCTTTTTAACAACAAGAGAGTAATTAAATTCTTATAAGGCACACTTTTATGTCTTGCCACCACAAATCTCTAACAGAATTTTTGTTACACCCTGAAAACCAGTTGTTTAAGAAAAGGTGAATTTTAAGTTTTGAAGCTAAGTAGTTCTCCATAGAATTCTCTCTGCAAAAGAAAACTCTAGAATTTCCCAGGATCTTGCGTGGGATAGTACAGAGTCATTTGCTTGGGTAATGAGGAATCCTGAGTAGGATTAAAATAGTCTCCTTTAAAATAGGAAGCTTGTACTGTTGTATCATCTACCTGAACCTGAAATTGGTTATTTTAAAAAACCCAAACAAAACCTTAAAAATCGAATGCAATGCTATATCCCAAGCAGAAATCATTGGAGTACTTACACTGAATACTACTCCTGCAAGAACAGCGCATGACCTAGCTCAAATCAACTGCCTAACTTCTTCAATTATACTCAAGGGATAATTTATCAATGTTTTAGTGACAAACTGTAGAACTAAATATGTGCTTAGTCTCCACAGAGAGGCATCACCTGTGCAGTGCTTCTGTTGAACATGTTTTGAACACTGTATTCAGAAATTCCTCCCCAAGATGCTTTCACCGAAGGCTTAAAGTCCAGTACGTTATATGAATAAGAAATTTCATTCTGGTTTCAAAGCCAATTACTTTGACATCAAAATTCATAGAAATTGCCTCTTCAAAGTCTTTTTTGCCATTCACTTATGCCCTTCATTTGCAGTCATATTAACAGTTCCTTGCACTCCACAGCACAGCACTACATCCAGACACATGACTTGGCTCATCCCATACTACGAAGGGGATGGTGGGGTAATATTGTTCTCTGCTAAAGAAACACATCCTTTTTCTTAGAAAGGCTGATGGGAACACATGCTGTATCGTGCTGAAACAGCCAAGATGCTTATATTTCCTAAATTAGCTTGTGTATTTGTACATGACATTATGCAATGGAGACAGAACTTTAATGACAGAATTAGGATAACAAACCTAGAGGTTGTACCCACAAGAGCCAAACAAGTTTTGTCAACGTAAGAGACATTCCCAGTTAAACTGCAAAGATTTTCGTACTTTCTTATAAAACAATATTGCTAAAACTACTGCTTTCCTCTCTGGGTTTCATTATAATCCCTAAAATTGCTTAAGATTCAGGTGCCCAAGCCAGGATTGTATGTTAGCATCTCTCAGCTCATGCAGAATCCCCTGAAGCATGCTTCAGCAGGCTCAGGCCATCAACCAGCAAGCCAAGAAGCCTACTGATTAATAACCCACAGACATGACCAGGCTACTTCCATCGTTGTTCAGGCATTACCATCTGTTTCTTTAAGACAAAAAGCCCCCCAGTAAAACATGACTAAAAGGTCTTACCATTTTTTAAGCTGTCAAAACCCAAGGAATGTCGAATTTCCTTCAAAGTGGTTCCATGGGCTCCAAGCTCTATCATTCCCATGGCTATTGCAATGCTCAGAGGAGAGAAAAGAATATTCTCATCTTCTCTTGCAGCTCGCAGCTGATTGTAAACATTCACAGAAAGCTCAGCAATAGTTTCATCAGGAAAATTTGTCTTGAAGGCTTTGCTTTGCAAAACAAGCAAAGACAACAGTCCAAGGAAATACATGTCTTGAGATTCTAATATCTGCAAGATAAATTTTAGAGAAAAGAAGTTAACCTTGTGAAAGTAATAAAAGATTCAACTCGAGAGAAAAGGGAATAGTAGGCTTTTAGTTTTAAAGCTGTGTGGAAAAACAACCCTAGTTATGGAGTTCAATGCACAATTCAGTTATCTGGAGGAGAAACTAAAACATATACTGAAGTAATGACCCATTTTAAAAAAAAATTACCTACTTTATTATGTGAATTTATGCTTTTGAAAGCTTTCAGCAATAGATTAACAAAATGTAGCTTCTATGTTTTGTTAGACCTCAAAGACATAGCAATGCCTGTCCTACTTGAACATTTTAATTCTGCTTTTGTTGTTGTTTGTTAAGCAATGCTGATCTGGAATTTCTCTAGTATTCCTCTAGTTTTTAATCAAGGAGACTTACAAACCCGTATTTCTTTTATTCGACCTTCCAATAACATGCAACTTATTCATCTAAATCAATCTAAGCCCCAAACTGGTAAAAACTATTTCAAGCACTGTAAGAGAGCTTGCTGACACCGCTGACAAACGAAATCTACCATGATGTTGCTCAGTTGCAAAACACATGGCAAGCAGCCAAAAACTCTCTGAAAGAAAAATAAATCATGTCTTAGTTATCAAGTTAAATCCCTTTTGTTAGTAAATAACGGCCAAAAGTTGGTTAGTTATGCTAGCTAGGAGACACCACCTGCTCAGAGATCTTTAGAAGATAAAGTTACTGTATACACCAGTAAGAAAGATTCAACAGGGGAAATAAGAAAGTAACCTAAATAGAAAAAAAAGATTAGCAATAAGGCTTTTGAATAGTCCTCCAAGCTTTGCTAAACTGCCTCAGTAAGCAACAGTTCTCACTCTATCCCAGTTTAGCTCATCACACAACTACTGACATTAAGATTCCAGCTCCTGGAGCTGGGTACGTAATGTTTCCATCCTTCTATTTTTCCTTTAAATTTCACACTACCTTGGCATCCTACCCACTGCTGCCAAGTGTCTTGGGTCAGCGGTACCAAGCCAAGAGAGCTTGCGTTTCAGTTCCGTTTCTTTGGCGCTTAAAGTACCTCTAAAACATAACAAAGCAAAGATTGTTGAAGCAGTATTTTAGGCAGCACAAAACTAAAAGCTTTAGTCCAGAAGCATTTACACGTAGTGCCAGTCAGCAGGGCTTGTCAACATGGGACAAATTTGTGTGAATGTGCTATTCTGTTGCTCGACTGAAGCCAATTTGCATGCAGGCAGCCCAAGCGCCTTATGCTTCCCAGCTCTCCTGTGGCTGCAGTTACCACGGGTTTCTGTATACTTGACACAGAGACCTTTAGTAAGCCTTATACAACACTTATATCATGCTTTTTGTCTTCAAAGACCTATCTATGATTAATTAATTAACTCACACAACACTGACACATAATTTAAGCTTTATTACTCACATTCTATAGCTGAGAAAATACAAAAAGCAACAGGGTACACATATATGCCTTGGCAGCAACTGATGCAGTCACTAGTTAGGATTCCTCCTGTCCCCTAGCTGGGGATCAGCCTTTTATTTATTTTTCCACTGAGACTATTAAATAGATGAACCGGTGAAGCCATCACACATGCTTCAGGGGAAAAGCACAGGCTCTTAGTGGAATATGGTAGCTACAGCCTTGTTTCCCCCGTCCCACATCTCCTTTCTGATAATTGCTTCCATATATATATATATATATATATAAATAAAATATGCCCCTTTTCACAATTTCTAATAAGCCTTCCTCTATGTTGGCATCACTTCATTTCTCTGGACTACCCAATCAATCTTTCTCTGATTCTTTGCAAGATATAAAAAAATCTCCACCGAAGGCTCTTGTTCTATTTAAGAATGGCACAGGGTAAGTCATATAAGCCTAAAGCACCAGCTTCATATTGTGCTTATTACTAGATGACTACATATTTCAGTACACTTATAAAATTATCCAGCATTTCACTGCTGCCCAATGGAAAACACTTCAGGCTGAGCCATGACCATCACTGTTTATTTCATAAAGAAAAGAGTCAACCTTTTTGTGGTCCTAAAACATTATCAAAATACCACAAACTTCCCCAATAATTGCTTTTCTTAAGAGCAATTAATTTTTTTAACCTGTTCATTTATAAGATCTTGACTTAAGGATGTTAAGGTTTCTGTTACAGAAAACAACTGGATTTCTGTTTTCTTTGTGATTCTGGGCATTCTAGATTTCTTTATTTAAAAAAAAAAACAACAACAAACCCAAAACAACACACATCTCTCCTAATGTTACAAAATATAAGGCTTCATTCAGCACATCACTGCGATACTCAAAGAAATAGATAAGCAGAAGTTCAACTTTCTTTTGTTGAGGATGAACACAAGGCATCATCATGGCTGGCCTGCAAATTTGGGGAATCTCACATCCTACTCTAAGCAAACAAGTTGCCTTGCTCACTGTGGATGCAGTTATACACATAGCTAAGCTTCCCCCCGGCCCCGTATCAAGAACTGTTTGAACTCACTTTGAGACTTGACAAGGTTACAAGAGCCATAAAATAAACTTCAGTTTTAAAAAAAAAAATATCAAAATTTCCCCAGCCTTTTAGTTGCAGAGGCAGCTATTCAGTTCTCTATCACTTATCTTTGTTATATGTGCTATTGCCAGACAGGCTTAAGTAATTGCAGAGGGGAAGGAGAGAAAAAATTTATACATCTTAATTAAGTGCTTAACATGTAGGTTAGACTATTTGAATCTAAAAAAACCCCAACAAATTATATACAAATCGAAGTCATCTTTCTTCCTGACCGCTGCAGAAAAGCTCCTCAGCTGAAATAATCAAGTTATAATAATTTTAATTATTTAGTTGGACAGAAAAATAGAATAAGTACATAGATAGGGACAAATAAAGTTTATACTGAAATGCTCTTACAAGACAAAGCAACAGAGTCGGTTTTCAAATACATGCTTAAATCTCACTGATGGCAATGCAAGAGGTTAATCTGTGCAGAAGTAAAGCTCCCAGTAGGAGTGAATTAAAGCCAAACAATTTAGATCCCACCCGCCGGCCCCTTGCACATGGCTTTTAGTCTAGAGGGGTTCTCAAACTGAGTTCACAGTGAAGTTTCCTAAACACACATCCAGGGAAAAGGAATAGAGTTATGGAGGTGGGAATGAGCACCCAGGTACAGGCAGAGGATTGACTGGCCCTTTTGCTGGCAGCACTCTCAAGGTATTTGACAAAATCTGGGTCTCACAATGTATGAGTACAATGCAAGAGAAGATATTTTAAAGCAAACTGAAGACCTGTGGGTGACAGTCAGATGGGAGAAGGCTGTAAAACAGAACAGACATTTGATCAATCCTTGCCAGCCAAAGCGAAAACGGTCTCATCTTATCCATCTGATCTGAAATGTCTGTGGTAAATTCTTGAGTTCAATTCTTCTTGCACTTTGGGTACGAGCGTACACTGTTCTACTGACAACTGGGAATCCAGCTCTTAATTATCATTCTAGTCATAACAGTTCCTGCTTCTCTGATTCTGCCTTACTTCAGGCTATATTACTTTTGGGTTTATGCCTCCTCATGCAGCAGGTCTTGATCCAACAAACAGCTGAGCACTTCTTACGGTGCAGCGTGTTCTCAGCATGTCTCTTCAGTAAGAGTCGAGGGCACTCTGTTTTGTCTCCGCAACAGCACGGAGAGCTTTTCTTAAATTGACTGTACCCTACTCACAAACATACTTTAAGCAAAGAAAAAGAAGCTGAACATTATGTAATATTATGTCCAGGAAGTTAAACAATTCCCACGGGTATCATCAAACTTTTAAGTCAGTCTTTTTACACTCTTCCTCAGAATCATCAACAGAATAGTCTGTCATAGCTGTTCTGCATCACTGAAATCTAGTTAAATAATACTGCATCAGCTGAAAAGGAGTCAAAGTCCACATTGAACAACATTTTTAAAAAATAATCAAGAAGCATCAGTTTCAAATGTTACTGCATGCATTTTGCATATATTGGCTACCTATATGGATGAAAAAAGCTGCTAAAATTACTTTTGCTTAATCACACAGCTGTTAAGACCAAAGATACAAATTTGCCATTTAAAGGCCAGTCTAACTTCTGTTTTATCTTAATTGATGCATGAACACCACTCTCTCCTACCAGGCAATCAAAGGATCAGTGCAAATAGACAAACACTCTCCTTGCAATAACCTCTTCTTGAAAAACAATTGTGTATTACAAGGTTTATCAGAATATTAGCTTTTTTCCTTGCTTGCAACTGTTCTCAGGGAAAACAAAGCAGAAACGGAACACTAAGCAACGCAGTATTGCTTCAAAAACCTGAGAAACAACTGTACCTCCAGATGAGACATTATTGCACAGTTATACCTGTGCAGATGTTATCTGGCGACTTACACCGTAACTTCAATATAAATCGGCGTCTCTAACATACATACACTTCTTTATTTGAACACCAACTCTAAAATACATACACTTCTTTATTTGAACACCAACTCCACTCACTTTGACATTCCTACATGATTCTTTTGGTGTCTCTGCTCTGGGTACAGAGACGTGCCTGTTTTGTCTGGGACTTCTTTTGCTTCTGGACACTATTCTGTACACGGTCTAAAAGTTACTTGGAGACAACTTAAATGATTCTTTTTCTTATTTTTTTTTAGCACTTCCCTCACACATTACTTAAAATAATAAAGAGATTCCAGATATATGTCATTCAGTAGGTACTTGCATTGAGGTCACGACTAGTTCAGTTCCCAGGAAACCTCTTCATTCAAAATTTCTGAAATCCTCTAAAATTTTCCACACATTACTTAAAATAATAAAGAGATTCCAGATATATGTCATTCAGTAGGTACTTGCATTGAGGTCACGACTAGTTCAGTTCCCAGGAAACCTCTTCATTCAAAATTTCTGAAATCTTCTGTAAAATTTTTGCAGTCCTAAAATTCAGCCTACCACATTTCCACAACAGGTCACAACCAGC